AGAGAGTGGCGGCGGCAGATTCATTCGATCTGTCCCTCCTTTCAAAACCCTTGTGTACTTCTGCTTTCTTCTCCTTTCTTCTACTTTTCTCAATCCGAAATCTTTTGGAATTCAAGATTGTAGTCTTGATCGACTACTAGAATAAAGTTGGAGAAAGACAGGAGAGATGAAAGCCTTCAAGCTAGTTCAATGCTCCACAATGGAAGACATTATGCTTGCCTCTTCTGCCTTTCAAGTTTTAAAAGTAAAACATAAAAAGGAAAATGGGAAAATAGGAAAAGGGAATGAGTAATTAGGACAATGAGAGGATGTTGTGTGTGAGAGGGAGAGTCATTGAGATTATATTGGATGGCCAAATGGGTGAGTGACTGAGTGGTGCAATCTATTTAGGTATTATGTAAAAGTTCAAGGGTTAGAAGAAACATAGGATTAGAAAAAGTGGGGATGTCTTTGGTAGAGAGTTACTTTAGGGGTATTTATGCCTTTTTCTTTTGCAAGTTTAAAGGTGGAAAAGAATAAGTTTGGGAAAAGGGGGGATTTAGGGGGGGGGGGAACTTGGATGGTTGACGGTTTTCAGGTCACTGGATCCAACGGTGGTGTCTAATTGGTCCAAAAATGCTTAGGGGGATTTAGGGGTTGAAAGGCTTAAGCCAACAAGAAAGGCCAAAAAGGAACCTTGGTTTGATAAAGGGTCAAATGAGAGAATTTTTATGAAATTTGATGGGTGGGCTTTTTAGGTGTCTGAAATTCAATGATGATGTTTGTTATTGGAAATGGTAACATCATTAATGAGATATCAAAGCACAACCCCAGTATAGGGTGTTCACCCAAGATATATTTAATTACAATACTGCCCAGAAAATGTTCTCCCTCCCAGTCCCTTGTTTTGCTAAGGTATCAACTAATCCATTGGATGACCTTCTTGTCCACTTGAAACATGCACCAATCTCCCTCGTTATACTAAGGATTTCCCTTATCGGTGTCTATGTGTCCAGGCTCCCAAACATCATTAATGAGATATCACAGCACAACCCCAGTATAGGGTGTTCAACCCAAGATATATTTAATTACAATACCGCCCAGAAAATGTTCTCCCTCCCAGTCCCTTGTTTTGCTAAGGTATCAACTAATCCATTGGATGACCTTCTTGTCCACTTGAAACATGCACCAATCTCCCTCATTATACTAAGGATTTCCCTTATCAACTGTCTATGTGTCCAGGCTCCCAAACAACCTGACTGCATCCATCCAATTAGCAACTTAGAATCCCCTTCTATCTCAATTTCGTGTAACCCCAACTGTTTGGCATATTTCACACCTTGAAGCAAAGCCATCACCTCCACTCTCAAAGAATCTCCCACCACTATTGGTCCTGAAAACATAGCATTCTGCCCTCTCCATCTCTAAAAACTCCCTCTATACCTGAAGGGCCTGAAGGGCCCAGATTACCTACAGAGCTTCCATTAAAGTTCAATTTCATCCTTTGTTGTGTCAGTGGGGACCAAAGTTCCTACACAACAGGTTTTAGGTAAGTTGTAACTGCAACCTCACCCCAATTCCTGTAGATATCATTAGCTGAGAAGTCTTTAAATAAAAATTTGATTTCAAAGTGGTCTTCCAGAGACAGATTTAAGGTTTGAGGGTTTCGACCAGTGGGAAGGCTGAAATGGGTATTCAGCCAAAGGGGTGTCAGAGAGGCAAATTTAAGGTATTCGGCCAAAGGGAAAGGCTGAAATGGAATACTTTCTTTGGGGAGTCAATTGGGGAAGATCTCAAGCAAAATTCATTGGATGGGTATTTTATGGTGTTTGGAATGGCCAATTAGGTTCTTGAAATGTAATATGGATCAGCTCTGTGTCAAATAGAGGAGTTTAGACAGGATAACAAATGCTGGATTCTTGGGTGCCAGAGTTCGATTTTTTCTTTTTTTTTTGGATAGATAAATTGGTTGAAAGTTGAAAGGTGTGTTCAGTGGGTTGTTTGAGGCTGAAGTTTCCAGCTAATCAGATTTGTCGAAATGAAATCTAAGGTGAAAAAAAAAAGTGAAATCATGAAATTTGGGGCTATGATTTGGTATGATTAGGTAGCAAGGATGTGGATGATGCTTGATCAAGGATATTGGACTGGAATCTGGAAAAATTATCGATGGATCTATCAGATCCAAATATTAGTCATGTGGCTTGGATTTTAGCTTCTATTGATCTTAATAGGCCAATTTGATGGCCTAGATTTTTTTAAGATCCGGATCACTCACCAATATAAACAATAAATGGGCATTTTTTATCAGCCAGAAAATTGGAATTATATTAAAATATGAAATTGGTTAATACAATGAAAGGGTATATTCACCCAAAATAACAAACCAGTGCCAACAAAGTTACAAGGTCACAATAGTGCCCAAAATAATTGTTGTCTATATACCCCTTGTTTTGCTGAAGTATTGGCCATCCCATTTGCTGTCCTTCTAACCCAATTAAACATCATGTCCAGCTTCTGCTTGATGCTTTCTATTTCCCTAAACTCATGTCTATAGATCCATGGAACAAGCTGCTTACTCCTGGCCCAAGAAATTATCATTTTTGAATCTCCTACTTCCAATTGCTAAAAATTTGATTGCTTGGCAATAAATGGGCAATTTAAAAAATGTACACACACCATGAACATTATCAGGGAACCATGTCCCACAAATAATTGGGGGATTCCCTAAAATTTACTCTTTCCTTTTTTTTCAGTAACATGCCATCTACTAAAAGGTTTTAGCGCAATATGCATGAAGTTTTTTCCCTATGCAAGTTAGTACACCAAATTCTGGTTATGATTCTATGATGATGCCACTGTAAAAAGTCATTAGATGAAAAGACAAAGGAAATATGATATCTAATTTTATCTCAAGATTCACATAAGATTAACCCATGCATAACCTTAATCCTCGCAACTGATTCTGGGACAACATTCTGCAATAAAATTTTACTCACACAGACATAAAGAAAACTTAAAGCATATTTCCTTACTCGTGGATTTGAAACATTAATTTTTTTGTGCTTCAGGCCAATTTTGACTCCCAATTCCTCTGCTACACTAGAGAAACTCTGGCAAATAATCAAACCGTAAAATCACAAAGGCATCCAGCTTTACATAACTAAGCTATTTTAGATAATTCTTGTGACTCTTCCTCTGATAATGACTCACTTCAAATACTTGTTTTATGTAGGCATTTTCTGGAGGCTTAGATACATGAATCCATAACTCATCATCCCAAGAACCAATACTATTCAAGCAAATGGCATAGTCAATACTCTCACGCAAGCGCTGATCAAAACTCTGGAGCCACTGCACAATATAGAAGATGCAACATTACAATACCAGGTGAAGCTATATAAGTGGGGAAAATGCAACAACAATAAGAAACAAAATAAGTAATCCACCATGAGGAAGCAAGCACCTTAAAGGTTCCATTATAGTTGTAAGGTCCACCAGATGTTAGCCCAAAAAGCAAATTGTATCTTCCCCTTGTCTTAGGATTTGAATAAAGGAGAGAGAACAACCTAGCAATTTCTAGAAGTGCCACTACTCCACTTCCATTGCTATCACTTCCCACTGACAAAGCCTACAACATAAATATTCTCAAACTTTTACACAGGCTAAAAACATATCATTAAGTGAGGAGTGACATTCATATATACATACCGGTGCAGCACCAAATGTGTCATATGAAGCAACTATAGCAATTGTTGGGAGCTGATTCACATCCCCATCTGCTTTTAATCCCGGCAACCATCCCTGTCACCAGAAGAAAGTCTTCAGAACAAATATTTGTTTCAGAGTGAAGCAAGGAAACAACGACCACACAATGCCAAAATAAACAAATGTGACAGAAAATATATGTATTTACCAACTATATCAAATAGAATTCACCAAAACAAATCGGTTCCAAAGTTCACCAGTTACTCTATTAATAGGACTATAGTAAAACTTTGGGGGTTCTTGCAATAGATCTAAGACTAGTACTGTCATTTGATTTCTTTATCTTCTTTCAGCCAACAATATCTTCAACTTATCTTTGATACCTCAGCACAACCAAGTAACTTCTGTTTCACTAGTATCCATAGAATTTTCTTTTCATTTTTTTTATCAATAAATTTTCTTTTCATTTTTGGTTAAGATAAATTGTATCAACACATCAAGAGTCTACAAAAGCCTGTAGACAACTATACAACCAGAACATTAAAAATTGCATTGCTGTTTTTACATGCTTCTACAAACATTAATTGGGCTCAAAAAGACTATAGATTTTATTTCAGGTGATTTAAGAATTTAAAGCATGTATATATCATCCTATTTAACATCTTAATTCCGGCTTTAGCGGTGGCAAAATTCTGCCTATTTCAAGAATAACAAGGTTGAAGAAACCTGAATGTTTGTAATCGTGGGCGATGCAAGCTTCTTAGGTTCTGGCGTGGAAACCACAAGCTTATATCTGTAAGATTAACAAGTTAAACAATGATCAGTCCAGTATTAGCAAACATCAAAATTTTAAGTCCCATCAATATCTACTGAATTAGTTGGCAAAAAATTTGCAGTGCATGGCTGGTACTCATCAGGCAACATATACAATGCACATGATATGACAAAGATAAATTGTCATTGAATGAATCAAGACATAAATAAAAATAAGAGGAATACAGAATAACATGATTCCAGAGAGCCAGAACATGACCATTTCATGCCAAGGTTCCCACATGCACATGCTTGGACTGATTGGATCACAACAAAGAATGTTGGTATGGGGCATCATAATGATACCCCATGAAACAGTTCAATTTCTTCAACAATTCATAGAATGCAAGGGTACTGACCAGAAAATAAAACAATAAAAAGGAAGAAATAGGCTGAGACACACACTTCAAAAAGGGTCTAGTTTAATTTGTAAGCTAACACCATGTGCTGCAGAAACAGATTATGGTGCCTATAAACTGGGAGAAACACTACAAATATCTATTTCAATTAATTCATCCTAGATTGTCCCCATCAGTAAGAGAGGGTCATAGTGATCAAAGGGCATTAAGCACCATATCTCAAATATATGTCCCATGTAAGAGTCAGGACTTGCCACCAAGTGGGTCTCATGTATAAGATTCCCCAGGTCAGAAATCAGCAGAGGCAGAAACATAAACATATAATCATTTATTTTTCATTTCCTTTCTTTTTTTTGGATTTAATAATCTTTTTTTTTGCCACAGTCCAAATAAACACAGCAAGATGCACAACTGTATCTTTAAGCAACAGCCCTGGATTATTACCATCATTTAAACCAACCATGTCCCATTATTCAATTGGAGAGCATGGATGGTTGTCTTGGAGAAGTTACATTGGTTTGATAAATAAAATATATACTAACCCGCCAGTTGTTGCAGTAGCAGGCTGACCAGTAGCATCATTCGTCTTGACATCAGCTAAAACAGCAGTGATCTTGTCATCCTCAAAAGCAAAGTACACTGGATACTGAAAAATCAGAAATTATCATTAAAGAACAACTACAGCAAAATAGTACAACTGACAAGCATAAGATATATATGTATACGTGTGTGTGTGTATATATATATATTAAAACAAGGTAATGAAGAAATTCTCCTTTTTTTTATTTTTTATTTTTTTTATTACATGCCATTTTTGAAACAACCAATGAGATTCACTTTCCCAATAACCTAAATAATCTATTCTCCTAAACTACCTCCCCCACTATCCCCCACTTTCTCCAAAATTATCTCTAATTTAGTAGAGAGTTTTTTTATTGAAAACGGTAACTTTCATTAAGAATATTAAATAAACATCTTACACTGTCAACCAGTCAGACAAAGAGTGTTGACCCCAAAATAACATCAAGAATCACATTACAACCCAAAATAAGTTTTCCCTGAAGGTCCCCTGTTTTGCCAAGCTATCTGCCACAGAGTTTTCCGATCTCCTTACCCATTTGAATGTCACTCCAACTTCCCTTGCCAAGCAGATTATTTCCCTCTTTTGCTGTTGAAACTTCCATACACCCAAATTCTTTGTTTGCAACCATCCTATTAACAATTTAGAGTCAACTTCCACCTCCAAGTTCTGATACTCCCATTGCTTGGCAAATCTCAGGCCTTGTAGGAGAGCCAGAATTTCAGCTCTCAAAGAGTCTCCCACTCCTATAGGACCAAAGTAAAGTGTCACCATTCTGCCCTCCCCATCCCTAAAAACTCCCCCAGCTCCCAAGGGTCCTGGATTACCCAAAGAGCTTCCATCAAATTCAATTTCACCCTTTGCTATGCTGCTGGTGTCCAAGAGGGCTGAAAGACAGATTGTCTGGTTGAAGAATTTGCCACTGTTGACCAGTCCCTTTGTATATCATCCACTGAAAAATCTTTAAATAAATCACTTACTTTCAGCCAATGTATGACTTTAGTGGCTACACAGTCAATGATTTGTTCTATTGATCTTTGTGCCCCTTGGAATATTCTGTTGTTCCTTTCTTCCCATAAAGACCAAAGAATGGCTGCTCTTGTTGCCCTCAACATCACTCTTCCCCTTTTCTTTGAAAGTTGGAAGAAACTTGGGTTGAAAAGACTTGTCACATCGGGGGGAGTAGTCCACCTGTAGCCAAATAAAAAAGAAAACTAAACCCACACACAAGATGCAAAGGGACAAGAAAGTAAAAGATGTATTACTGTCTCACCATTTCCCATACAAAGGCAACAAACATGAGGGGAAAGGCACTGATTCGGCCTTCTTTTTTGTAAATTATCAAGAGTATTAATCTTCTGAAGCACCACCTCCCAACAAAAGGCTCTTACTTTTGGGGGTACAGGACTACACCAGACTTCCTTTGTGGGAAAAGAACCTCCTGGGTGTGAAGAAAGGAGGGCAGAGAAGGAGGCACAGGTATAGGAGCCAGAAGGGGACTCTAACCAGATCCTGCTGTCATGACAAGATAGGTCCAGGAAAACAGAATTAAGAAGTGAGATTAGTTCATCTACTAAGCCCAATTCATGATCCCTCAACCCCCTTCTTAAACCTAGATCCCAAGAATTTTCATTAACAAGCACTGAAGAAATCACTTTCCCTTTGTTGAGGGACAGAGCATAAATAGGTGGAAATCTGTCTTTGAGAGGAATGTCCCCAAGCCAAATATTCTCTCCTAAGTTATCTCTAATTCCTAATTATCCTCTCCCCCACTTTTTATCTATATCTATCTAAAGAAAGTTTGGACTAAAAAATTTAAGAATTATTTAAATATTCTAACAAAATTATATAATAACTTTAAAATATTTATTAAAAACACAAAAGATAATTTTATATTTTTACAAAATATATCACGAAATTATGCACTAACAATTTAAATTATGTTTTTCCGGATTATCAATTTAAATGTTTTTCAAATACTGAAGTTGTGACAGTAAGTGACAAGTTAATTGGTCAGTTCTCTGTATCTTTATTAGTTCAATCTCAGGAGATTGATTGGGAGTGGGTTTTATCAGTGGTTTACGGCCCAAATGAAGAGGGGCTGAGAGTTTCTTTCTGGGAGGAGTTGGATGAGGTCAGATTGAAGTGGAACCATCCTTGGGTAATAGGGGGAGATTTTAACACAATCAGGTTCTCCTATGAAAAGAAGTGACGCAGAGAAAACAAAAGGGGGTGGAGGAGGGTTTTGTGGATTTCATGAGGAGATGGGAACTAGTAGATCTACCGCTGCTGGGTGAAAAGTTCACATGGACAAATAACCAGGAAGATCCAACTCTGGTTAAACTAGACAGGTTCGTAGTTTCTACAGAGTGGGAGGAAAACTTCCCAAATCTGTCACTGCAAGCTCTTCCAAGGCCATTGTCGGATCATGCCCTGGTTATGTTAGATTGTGGAGGTATTAGAGGAGGCAGGGCTCCTTTCAGATTTGAGCATTTCTGGTTTGACGAGCCAGGCTTTGTGGACCTGTTAACTGAGTGGTGGGTAGGTTTCTCTTTTGAAGGTACTGCAAGTCATATCTTCAGTAAAAAAACTAGAGTTTAAAGTTAAAAATTAAAGATTGGAGCAGAGGGATTCTGAAGGAGGGTGAAAATAAGAGAATGTTTGGAAGTGATTGCAGAAATTGACAGGCAGAGGAGAATGGTGTCATTGGAAGGGAAGATCGAAGCAAAAGAGAATTGGCAACGAGGGATTTCGACAAAATAGCTTACCAAGAGGAAATTAAATGGAGACAGAGATCCAGGTGTGCTGAAAGATGGAGACAACAACACAAATTTTTTCCACAAAATGGCAAGTGCGAGAAGAAGGAAGAACACAATAAAAAAGATAGAGGTCCAGGGGGTGGAAATAGAAGAGAAAAGACAAATCAAATGTCATATTGCAAAATTCTATGAGGACTTGTACAAGGAACAATGGAGGTCTAGACCAGTGCTGGATGGGTTACAGTTTGAGTCCCTTTCAGCTGAGCAAGCTAGAGACTTGGAGAAGCCCTTTTCAGAGGAAGAAGTGTGGGAGGTGGTAAAAGTGTTGGAGGGTGATAAGGCCCCGGGGCCTGATGGTTTCACACTCTTATTCTATAAGAAGAGTTGGGGTTTTGTGAAACAAGATGTAGTGGAGGTGGTTAAGGAATTTCATGAAAGAGGTGCTCTTGAAAGAAGCCTTAATCACACTTTCATCACCCTAATTCTAAAAAAGAAAGGTGCAGTAAAGTTAAACGATTTCAGACCAATCAGCCTCTTAAGCAGTGTCTACAAGATATTAGCTAAGCTCTTGGCTAATAGGATGGCAAAAGTGATTTCAAGCTTGATTGCTGAAACCCAAGGTGCTTTCGTGGGGGAAAGACTAATAGTTGATGGAGTCCTCATAGTAAATGAATTAATAGATTCAAGGAAGAAAAGTAGTCATGTAAGAATGTTATGTAAGTAGACATGGAGAAGGCAATATGACCATGTAAATTGGAACTTCCTTCATTAATTGTTGAGGAGGATGAATTTTGGGGTGAAATGGAGAAATTGGATAAAAGTGTCTTTCTCCGACAGAGAGATCCCCTCTCCCCTCTCTTATTTATATGTGTAACAGAAGCCCTCTTCAGAATGGTAGAGAGAGCAAGGGAAGGAGGATTGCTGGAAGGCTTCCAAGTAGGGAATAGGGAAGTAGAGATTCCTCTTCTACAATTTGCAGATGACACTCTTTTTCTGTGATGCATCTTGGGAACAATTTTGGAATGTGAAGGCAATCCTAAGATAGTTCAAGGTGGTTTCCGGCTTACACATCAACATCCAAAAGAGTGAGATATTGGCAGTTAAGGAAGTGGCAAACCTGGATTCTTGGGCGAATGATTGGGGATGTAAAGTGGGTAAACTCCCTTCAAAATACCTGGGTATGCCTTTGGGTGAAAACTGTAAATCTAAAACCATTTGGGAACCTATTATTGAGAAGGTTGATAGGAAACTGGCCTCTTGGAAAACCAAGTACTTGTCTAAAGGGGGAAAGTCACCTTAATTAAAAGTGTCTTATCTTCCCTCCCTACCTACTATTTGTCTTTATTTCCAATTCCAGCTAAATGGGCTGCAGCTATAGAAAAAAGGATGAGAGATTTCCTATGGAAGGGTTGGAAGGAGGATTCTAGGTGTCATTTGGTAAACTGGAAGAGAATCTGCTCACCCAGGGAAAAAAGGAGGTTTAGGGATAAGATCAGTGAAAGATGTCAACTCAGCCTTGCTAGAGAAATGGCTGTGGAGATTCAACAAGCACTCACCCAGGGAAAAAAGGAGGTTTAGGGATAAGATCAGTGAAAGATGCCAACTCAGCCTTGCTAGAGAAATCGCTGTGGAAATTCAACAAGCACTCTGACAGCCTATGGAGAAGATAAGTTGTGGAAAAGGATGGCTCTAGCAGCAGGGAGTGGGAGACAGAAGAGGCAAGATCCCCTTATGGCTGTTATTGAGAAGGTTGATAGGAAACTGGCCTCTTGGAAAACCAAGTACTTGTCTAAAGGGGGAAAGTCACCTTAATTAAAAGTGTCTTATCTTCCCTCCCTACCTACTATTTGTCTTTATTTCCAATTCCAGCTAAATGGGCTGCAGCTATAGAAAAAAAGGATGAGAGATTTCCTATGGAGGGTGGAAGGAGGATTCTAGGTGTCATTTGGTAAACTGGAAGAGAATCTGCTCACCCAGGGAAAAAAGGAGGTTTAGGGATAAGATCAGTGAAAGATGTCAACTCAGTCTTGCTAGAGAAATGGCTGTGGAGATTCAACAAGCACTCTGACAGCCTATGGAGAAGATAAGTTGTGGCAAAGGATGGGTCTAGCAGCAGGGAGTGGGAGACAGAAGAGGCAAGATCCCCTTATGGAGTGGAAGACAGAAGAGGCAAGATCCCCTTATGGGGATGGTGTTTTCGTGGCTAACAAACCATCCACTTTTTAAAAACAGGCAAACTTGTTCTTTTTTTGAGCCTGATTTCCTTTTTGTAAGATCATAGTTTTTTGTTGGGTTGTTTTTCAGAGGCTGGCTTTCCTGAGTTTTTTCTGTCTATTTCTGCTGTACAATCTCTCATTGTACAGGGACCTTCTGTATTCTGCACTTTTGTTATTAATGAAATACTTTACTTTACAGTTTTCAAAAAAAAGTAATATGGCACGTTTTGACCCTTCAAATTTAGGCAACAAGTTGAGTGACAAACCTAAGATATTTTTATTTCTGATTTTGAGTCGAGGCCCTAATTAAATTGAAAATAACTTTGTAGAAGAAAATTCCAATTTGTAGAAAAAAAATAATAAACACCAAATGCAATGTTATATTTTCATAGAAAATAGTAATTAAGCGTAATTTTTTTTAAATAAATGGTTAAAAACAGAGTAAGAATGTACCATGTATCTGCATTTTTTATCTTTAATAATGACATGATTTGAACCAAACCAGAAAAGTTGAAGAACTATGTGCCACAAACACATATTATAGACCCACACATAAATACCTAAATGCTAAATATAATAAGAAGCAACTACTGAAGGTCCAGGGATGCAGGCAGATACCAAAGGATTTAGAGCCATTATCATTAAAACGACAGTAATAATATTACAAGTACAAGAGCAATCAGCAATTATAATGCCCTGAACAGGAATTTGTACAAAGAATTAATACTCAAGGAAGTAGAACTGTTAAAACCAGCATGTATGTAGAGAATTAACTTAACTCACAGAAATGCAATGTAAACACTTAACACATTTCTAGTCCCTAACTCATGGAAGGCAAGCTATCAGGTGTATATGTCCATGATGCTAATTACGCCACAAGAATAAAAGACTAAAGAAATGATATCTGCTTCTCTTACTGGTATGTTGACATGTACAAGTAATTTTTCCAGTTCAGCCAGTTCACTTCTTATCAGCTCTTTTCCATTATTACGGTCACCTTCCTCTGCCTCTTCTCTGCTTTCTGAACTAATGTTTTGGGGAAGTAATAGTAGTAGGCCACCTAACGGCTGTCTTTGCATAATGTAATCTGCCAAGTTTAAATGCAAAAGGTAGAAGCATGATTAGATACAAAGATATGCACATTACCGATTAAAAAAATTAAGGATTTGACTTGAGAATTGAGGTAGTGGAAAATGATTTGAGGATCGAGAATTTAACCATAGATATGGCCCTAGATAGAGTGGATTGACAAAACAGGATTTTTTTTTTATTTCTTTTGAAGGGCTACACAACAGGGGGTAGCCCCCCCCCCCCAACCCAGGTGCAGGTGGGATTCGATCCCAAGTCTCCACTACGACCAGCAGGAGACCATACCAACTGGCCGGTTGGCACCTTGCTGGATTGACAAAACAGGATTCACATAGACCTATATTGGGTTGGCTATGTAAATCATGTTTTGTCAATCCACTCTATCCATAGTTGGCAAAACTTACCCCAAAAAAAAACATAGTTTTTTATAAATAAAAAAAAAAAAAGAAAAGCATAGTTGGGAAAAAGACTTTCTTGAGTTGGCTGAATATATACTAATATTTCATTAGGAAGGGTAAATATATGTTCAAGAACCTTGTGTGCAAAGCCTTGATTTTTAGCATGTGAATTCATAACCATATCTCTTGTACTGTGTGGTAATTGCTAAGGTTTCCATGTAATCAGAATAACCATCAATGTTTACACTATATACAGAAAGTGAGACATAAAAAAAATGCAGTAATTTGTTAATGATGGTAACTTAGAGAATGGCATGATAGCCATTGAAGTTGGAGACCATGAATCAAAGAACAACTCTTCTCCTCCTGTTGTTTTTTCAAATAACTAAATGCAGAGTAGATATAAACCTAATTGTTCCGGTGATAAAGGCTTCCACATGGTATTTCCCATTGGACAGGATTCCAGCTGTGGACTACCTGAACACAGTTTTCATTTAATAAAGAGGTGCATTATGTACAAGCCAGACAAAGAACCAATGGACCATCTCTTTCTTCAATTTATGTGGCTAGAAATGCTTAGAAATTTTTACAGAAAGGGACATTCAATAAGGTGCCAAAACTTTTTTATCAGTAACTGAAACCTATTTTATTAGAAACGAAAATAATAGAAAGTATGTACAGAAACAGTTTGTACAAATAGTGCCAGCACTCCCAGGTCACAACCCTTTGAGTGTCCCTGTTATCAGCCCCTTTTTTATTTCCTTTACATTTCATTACCCTCCTGTTCATTATCTATAATCCCCCAAACAAGTGGTTTGTCCCGGCACCCTGCCTTTCCAGAATATCAACCATACCATTTGGCATCCTTCGTGACAGACAACTGTAGTATTCATCTCCCTTGCTATGTTCCTTGCCTACTTCTATAGGGGTAGACTTCCTGGTGAAAACGATTTGGTGTAAGCCTATTCCGCCTAAAATTCACGCTTTCTGTTGGGAAGTTTTCCTAAGAAAGATTAATACTTGTGATATGCTACAGAAAGAAAGGCCTAATTCCTACCCCTCTCCTCATATGTATTTTCTATGCAAGGCTAGTGGTGAAACTCTTTCCCATTTATTAATCTCCTGCCCTTTTGTGCTTTGCATTTGGGAGCTTTTCTGTTCTCTCTTTGATTGGAGGTGGGTCCGCCCCAAGATGTGGCTGGTATCTTCAATCCTAACTTCTTGGGGCAACCGAAGAAAAGAGGGAGGGTTTTGTGGAGAGGTACAAAGGCAGCAGTAGTTTGGGTGGTCTGAAAAGAAAGGAATGGAAGAGTCTTCAATTGGAAAAGTAGATCTACGGAGGAGATTTTGGATAGCATCAAAATAAAGGTTGCACATTAGGTAAAAACCTTGGAAAGCTTTCAAGCTTTCACTGTTACTGATATCTTTAGAGCTTGGACAGAGGTGGAACAATCACCGAGAAAAATAAAATAAAGTATAAGGCTGGTTTGGAAACATCTTGAATGCAATAATGTGAAGCTGAACTATGATGGCAGCACCTTTGGAAATCTGGATATGGCTAGAGTAGGTGGTGTGATCAAGGATTCTGAAAGTAGAATACTGGCTCTTTATTTAGGACCCATAGGACTGGCGAACTCATTGAAAGCTGAATTATTGGCCTCATAGTTGTCAAGGCAACAAAAATGACAATGTGGGCGCTTTATATACTATCACTTATATTGCTGTATCTTATTAATAGATGTGTTAATACTTTATACATTATATATATATAATGTTTTACTATTGAAATTTAAAAGATCAAAGGGTTTTGAGGAGAGAAAAGAAAGAAAGAAGGAAAGAATAGAAGTATAAAGAGGTTCTTTTTTTTCTACTACTACTTATTATCGTAGTATTATCTTTCAAAATAATGAAATTAATATATGTAAAAGATTTTTATCTTTTAGATGTGATGACTTGCCACATTTTTAGAGGAAATTTAATGTTCTTGATAAAGAGACTTGCTATTTTTTCGATTAATATGCATGCTGAGTGGTATATAAAACTAGGGAACTAGCCAAAAGTTGATTATTTGTATTATAAAATTCTTATCGCCTAAGAAACTAGGTGACTAGGCACCCCAATGTCGCCCAGAATTGCCTAGATGCCTTGAAAACTATGATTGGACTTGCGACAAGGTCTTCAATTAGCAAAACAACTGGGATACAGACAGGCGGAAGTGGAAGAAGATTCAAAGCTAATTGTTTCATGGGCTAGTGGTGGCAACCAGACTCCATGGACTCTTAGCCATGCCTTTTAGGGAAGTGGAAAGTATTGCTAGGGACATAAATGCTGGATCTAAATGGATGAGAAGGACTGCAAATGGAATAGTGGATTCCTTGCTAAGCAAGGAGTTTTGAGGCAGCATCCTGTTCTGGGCTGCAATATAATACTGAACGTAGTACTTTGGGGAGCAGTCTTTCCTCTTTGTATTGACTGTAACTTTCAATCTTATAATAAAATTTCTCTTTGCTAATCAAAAAAATGTCTAATGATGAAACATTAGTCAATTAATTCAGGTGAACTCCAGTGTCAGAAGTTCTTACTTCTTAGCTCCTCTAAAACAGTTTAATGCAAACAAGAACACAGAAAATGTAAATCGTAAACTTCATATGGAAATCACAACTACTGCTCTCCATGATAAATAGCAACTTGCACTGCACATAACTTCAAGCTCCAATTGGGCTTAACGTAGGATTCATTGTTTTTACAATTCAACAGAGTATAACGACAGAAATGTCTGAAGTAAGTAGCCATGGGAGGCTGAGATTTCCTTATAGACATAAAATTACCTCGGAGGAAGGTAATGTTGACTTCTCGAAACGGAATTATAACGACAGTACGCGAAAGATCTGCTCCAGGTGCGAATGGCAAAGAACCAGCATGATGGTTAAGACTTGCAAGGCGAGATCCGAACGGAACACCGGCGAGATCGTACTGAATAAGCCTGTAAACATCGACGACGGTCGCAGCATCGCCGAGCTCGACACAGGCCACTAGTATGAAAACCAAGGCCAGTACTGAGTAGATCGATTCAAGCATCTCCCCTTCGCGCCCTTTACTCCCCGCCATTGAAGAGAACAGTAGAGGTCGGAAGACAGAGAGTGAGTGAGAGTGAGAAGGAACTCTAGGGTTTTGGATTTCGATCTGAAATAATAATAAAAAAATTGGCTGGAGGTATGGAATGGAAGTCTGGTTTCAGTGTCTCAGTGTGATTTTTCTAACAGCGAGGATGACGGAAGTGGGAGAGTTAGATCGAAAGCCAGGTTTTGTATGTAGAGAGGAAGATCGTGTGGACTGGGCTAAACTTGATAACCATCTCTCGTTCGACAGTTCGAGGCGCTGCCCTGCAACAGTGTTGGACTCGGGTCAAAAGCCCCTCCTCGCAAAGAGTTCGCTCCAGACCGTGGTGGAGTTGGAAAGCAGTTTAGTTTTTTTGGAAAATCATAGATTAGTACCTGTACTTCAGGGGTACATTCACATTTTACTACTCAAACTTTAGAACGTGACAACACAGTACCTGAATTTCCTAAAACTATCAGTTTAGTCCAAAATCATTAACGGATATTAAATGATATGTGAAAGAATAAAAATATCCTTCATGTGTCATCTCATTTTCTTTATCAACCAATCATATTGAGTTCATTTTATCCTAACTCTTATCTCTTTCCTTAATACAAAATCCCTCTTGTTGTTGCTGCCACTCATCTCTTTACAATTCCATAACCAAAAAAGGTTGTCATCGGAGGTAGTTGATAGAGATCACAAGAATGCCCTCCAACTCTTGAACTTAACAAATAAATGAAGTCATACATAGGACGAATTCGTATTAGGTGATGTAGTTATGTCATAATGAAAATCTCCTCCAATGCTTGTATGTTATTGGCTACTATAAGTTTGGAATTTTACTATAAATAGCAAGGGAATGCATAAAATAAAGGGAGAATGACTGTTCAGCCCACCTCAGAATTATTAGTCTCATGGTACAAGTGGAATGAGTCTTGATCATGGATTGATGCCAAATCCATGGGTAGGATGAGGTTTACAGGGGGTTACTACTAATATAATATGGGGCTGTAATTTTAGAATTTTACAGTGGGTTGCAGTGTATTTCCCCATAAAATAAATTGATATCTGAACCGATGAACTTGGTAGAGGAATGGCATAGTTTGCTTCTGTTCAAATCCTTGACTTGTATTGACTTTGGTATAGCAATATTACAATAACTGTGGAACAAGTAACTTTTGGAACATCCAAAATGTTATGGAAACCAAGGATGTGGCATTTGAGAATGAAAGTTTCCTTGAACAACGTCCATTGCATCAAACCATTTCCTAGAATGTCCAAGTGAGATTATGTTCATCGTTGCTCTAGTTTAATATCAAGGAAGGAGACAATGAATAGTATTTTCTTCTAAAGGGGTAATTTTGAAATTTTGAAATGTTTTAAATCGCATGTGACATAACGTGTGTTAGATAATTGACAAAATGCTAATAACAGGTATTAAACTAGCAATTTCCGAAAGTTCAGGTACTGCAATGACACACTTTGAATTTAGGGTACTAAAGTATGACAACCCTTAAAGTATAAAGTACTAATTTGAAATTTTCACTTTTTGGCTTGATGCAGAAACTTCCCTTATATTTTCTGACAATCATATAAACCTCCCTTATATTTTGATTATGACAAAAATATTCCTTATAGCTTTGGAAAAATATACAATTAATCAATTATCGCCATTTTCCTATCTTTCAAAACAGAATACGCTCAAATAATTACATTTATTTTTTAGAATACCAGATTTACCCTTTGGCCTATTCATTCAAAGAGCACCTTGTTGGACTATCTCAATAGTGCCCATTCTCAGACATGTAAGCAACAAAAACCGATTAGGGTTTTATGGAAAACCCAAAGCATCAACAGTAAAAAGAAAACAATGATTGGTTGATTTGTTCCCTTTACCAAATGAAAGAAAAAAAAAAAAAACATGTAATCGATAAATGTGAAAGAAGTAAAATGATGGAGGTTCTTTTACTTTTGTCGTTAAGGAAATCCAAATTGCAAAGTTTGATGGCCCCATTACATGCCATTTACACCAGTTGACTGAATGGAAATAGGCCCCTTGATCACCAAAAATGGAAGGAAAAGAAAAGCATGAACGCATTATTGTTTTTCTAGGTGTTCAAAGTTTGATTTGGGTCATGCAATCTAGGGGATATTTCTTTTTTTTCACGGATTTTGAGAGGGAGAAATTTGGTAAAGGAAAAGAAAAGAAACACATGTTATTTTTTTCAAATTTATGTGGGGACAAGGGAAAGTTTATTTTCCTGGACCCATCTTCTATGTGGGTAAATAACTTTCCCAATTGGAGAGAAAGTTCCACTTGAGTATAACAAAAATACCTCTTTTGATAATGGATTTTTATGGGTAAAAATGGTCATTACCTTATTTACCTAGGAAATAAAAGAACATGGACAAATGCACTTACCCACCCAGGTACCTGGATAAGTGCATTTACCCAGGTAAGTGACTTACTAAAAAGTGAATGGGGTCCTAATGAAAATAATGGTGCTCAAGGTGAAAGCAACATTGAGCATTCATATTAAACTCGAAACAGGTTTGATAATAGTAAAATAGAGAGAAGAAAGAAGAAAAGAGGGGGAAGGGGATGAAAGACTAAGGGAGAGAAAATAGAGAAGGAATAAACAGGTTCAATTGGCAATGGTGTTTTAGTGGTTTTGATTGCAGAAGTAGAAAAAAGGAGAGGGCATTTTAGTAACTTTAATGTCTCATTTACTGGAAAACCTCCCAAAGGGAGGCATCTGTACATTTTTTCCAAATATCAAAGGAGGTTTGAGCCAGGCAAGGTTTGGGCTGGGTGTACAGGTGAGTGGGGCTCTTAAGTGATGACTGTATGTCTGTATATGTTAATGTGCATATGAGAAGCACATTGCTATCTCATACAAGTAAATGCATGAATAGGACCCATTTTAATATGTTACACGAGTAAATGTGTAAATAAGACCCACAAATTAATACCATTTGCATGTTTTGAGTGTATTAATGAGTCCCATACTTGACATTTCACGTGTGTTTATCACATATTTATTCATCACTTTTATGCATTTGCCAAACGGTCTTCATCTCTTCCTAGCTTTCAGGAAGATCTACCACAGTTACTGCAACCAAATGATCTTCAGGCTTCCTAGATCTACCCATGAAAACCCATGCAGTCTTTTAGGTCTTTGACTGTTCGATCTTTCGGAGAAAGATTTGCCAAACGGTTCCTTTGTCTTTTTAGAAAATAATTTGCCATAGGCACCACCTTAGCTCATGAAGTGCTTTTCAGTTTTCACCCACCATAAGTAATTAAAATAATCTTCGTATACATGTCAGCTGCTAGTCAATGTTATATAGCTTCAAATTTTGAGAAATATAAGATACAATGCAAGAGTGTAAGTATTATCACTTATTGCATACATGTTGCATAGCATTTCTGCCAAATTTGGTTAATTATGTATCGTTCACGTATTTTAACCCTTTTATTCAACAAATATCTGCCTAGATAAAAGATACGAAAACAGAATATTAATTGCCATAAATCACTAGTTAAAAATGCCCTGACCCAAATGGTCTAACTTCAAACTGGATAAAGATGAAATTCCAGTTTGAACAAAGAAAATCAATAATCAACCTTACAATACCAAAAATATACATGAAGAGTTGAAGACCACCTACGACAAGATAACCACGATTTTTTTTTTTTTTTCAATTGTCACTAGTTAATCAAGATCTTCAATTTCAAGAGCTGGGATTCTGCGGAAGCGGGCCCAATATCGCAGATATGATGTTTCAGCTGTTTTTCTTATTACTGATCTCTTTTGCCTAGACAAAAATCCTTGGCCTGAAATTGAATCATACAAGATCCCTGCATCCTTTTCCCCTTTTAGACTACTGTTTTCAGTCGAGTAACTGTGAAACCCAAAAAAGTTTGTAGGCAAAATAAGTTTGAGATTTGTTAAAGAGTGCATAAAAAATGCCTTATAAAAAACAGGAGTATATAAAAAAGAGAATTGCAAAGTACGGCAATGAAAACATTCACAACACTTGGGCATGTGAAAACAAAACTTTTGCCATCAAAGTAATGACAACATTAATCATTATCCCTATGTTTGTGATGTAGTTTTTAAGGGCATAGGCCTATTTTTTGCTGCCTTGACTGAAACACCTCCCAACAAAAAAAAGAGCTTACCACCGACAATTTAAAGTAATTATACCAGAGCGGATATAGAGATTAAAGCAGCAATTATATGATGAAACTGAAATTTCTGAAATAAGAAATTAGAAAGTACCAACTGCCCAAGCTACTGCAGAAAAGGGTGATGGCAATGAAAACAAAACGAAAAGTAAGGTCTGATACAAAGATTGCTAACGTAGAAAGAAGCAAATAATTTAGGAAAATAATGGCTTGGAATTATATAATGGAAGCGATTAATAAGAAATTGTGCTAATATGATCCTGAAAAATATGTTTAATGTGCTTAACATGAATCTGCATTTTTAATCTGAACTGAGCAATCCAAATCAAAATCAGCTTAAGTACCTTCAACCACTATCATCATCATCCGAGCCTTCTCTCAACTATATGGGGTCAACTACATGAATCCTGTTCCACTCTTGCTATATGCATGGTACTGGGACTGCAACAGGTATCGTACAAACTTTGAGGTCATCTACACTAAGTTCTTTCTCTAACCAAATATCTTAGCTCAATAGAGGAATGATAACTGAAATGCCTATTTCTTGATGACCCCCATAAGGCCATAAGAGCTATTATTCATGTGGAAGAAGTTGAAACTAGATACAACAGTCTTAAAAAGGCATGGAAAAACATGAATACAGTGAATAGTCACATAGATTGCATTTTTCTTTTATTCTTTTTATCTTTTTTTTTGTGATAATAATGCAAAAAGGACATCTCCATCTGTACAAAAAAAAAATCACAGACCTTAGTGTACAAAAAAAATCATAACATATTAACAATTAGCAGAGGCCTTTAGATGCCTTTAGACATCAATGAATGTGAGAACTGAATTACAGAGTACTATGTAGAAAAAAAGGTGTATGCATCCCTAGAGGCAAAAGAAGCTCTTACCGTTCCCTGATAACTTTGAAAGCTTCTTTAGTTGCATAAGGTAACCCTGTCTTTGGGTCGTGATACCTGCAAAACCATAATATAATTAAAATGTTGGTTTCATCCACAGAAATTAGAGGAAAGTGAGTCAATAAATCCATATTAATTAAACCATCAAGGAGAACCAAAGAAAAGGCGTTTAAATTTTGTGGCACAGGATTAGAAACTATTTATTTGTACAACTTCTGCAAAAATTATACAATAGAAAGGGCTACATCCTAAAATATTGTGCCCATGCTCCATTTCTCAAAGTTAATTACCCTACAGAGATGTTAGAAAAGGCATAAAAAATTCCATATCACTGCCAAAAGGATGACGGTATCAGACAACAATACATGGTGGAATTATATGGTTTTGTCATTCTTTAGCACTACTCCATATTAAGGGTACCTGTATTATTTTCTTCTTATTACTATTATATTTTCAACAAGTACATAACATCACTCAACATAATAATACATTTACCAAATTGGCGGGAGCTTGTGCACTGGGTTGTCCTTTTATTGTACAATCAAAGATCTTTCTTATTCCCAGTTTCCAAACTCATAAATATATTGGCATCTTAAAGGTTGGTCTTAATTCATCATAGCATCACTGCTTTATAACTAGAAATGGGAGCATGTAATATGCTGATTAGAGTAGAACAATAAAACAATTCTATGACCATTGGGAGATGTATGAAGGATTTCTTATTGAATATGTCCTTATCATGATAATTTGAAGAAGCATAGACTAGTCAATTACTATTCCTAAGAAGCACTGAAACAAAGCATTCAGAAGATGGATAGAACAAACATATCAGGGCCTCTGGTAAAAAAAAGCCTTACTTGGCAGGCAGTCCAGTAACAGCACACACAACCTTCTCAGGATCTGCAAGAAAGAACAAACTCTATTAGTATATTGATATCCCAAGGTACATCGAAACTGTGCAACAAGCAACAAAAAGGATTACAAGTTCATATAGATATGTTTCAGAAGGCCACAAAACCCTGTATCAACGATTCAACATTAGCTTTATGATATGTGGATATGGAAAAGTGCATAAACCATAAAGTCTACAAAAACCAGAACATTGTTATTCCTTTACAAGATTCTTATATCTCAGTAGGACCTGATCAATGCATCTATATTAATTCATTAACTGTCCTATTCCATCTTGTCCTCACTGGGATGGCAGTCATGGGACAATTAATAATAACAATTCAACGTTAGCTTTATGATATGAGGATAAGGAAAAGGCATCAACCATAAAGTCTACAAAAAACAGAACATTGTTATTCCTTGCAAAATTCTTCTATCTCAATAGGACCTGATTAATACATCTATATTCATTCATAATTGTCCTATCCCATCTTGTCCCACTGAGTTCCTAGATCCATTACTAAAGAGGAGTCTCAAATACCAAGATTTATTAGGGCATCTTGGTTTTCTGACTTGAGTGTAATTTTGCATGGTAGAATCTCCAACCATGGAAACTAAAGGCATGTTTGGTTTGGATTCTCTTTCGGCTATTTCTTGCCAGAGAGATATTTTATTCTGGCTGGAAACAGAATGCAGGAATGATGGAAGGGAATACAGAATGGCATTTGATTGAATTTGCCCAAACAAATGAACATTTCTGCCAAACAAACAAAAGCAATGAGAAATGTGTTTGGTTTGAGAAAAATTACACATGACACTAGCATATAATATTATTTTTTGTAGGTAACTGTAAATTCATTGACTATAGACAGCAAGAATATATTTACAAAATACTATACAACCCAAAGATGGGCTAGTATTTACAAGACAGCCCAGAACAGTTGATCCTTATTTACCCCCCTGTTTGACCAAAGCATTAACCATATTTGGCTACCTTTGTACCCATAGAATGGTAGTTTCCAGGTTCCTAGCCAACCACTTGACTTCCTTGATTTCTTGTCTGTGGGTCAACAAAGCCCTCTCTTCATGATGTAACCAGCCAATCACTTCCTTACTTTCAATGATCAATTTAGTGAATTCATTAGTTTTGTCAGTCTGATTCCTTCAAGAACAGCTAACAGCTCTACCCTCATAGAGTCCTCAACACCTATTGAGCTTGACAACACTGCCCTAATAACTCCATGCTCATCTCTAAATACACCACCCACCTCATAGGGTCCTGGGTTACCCATGCTGCTGCCATCAAAGTTGAACTTTATAGAACCTCTACAGGGTGGCTGCCATAGCTGTTGCACTAACACTCTTTCTTGAAGATGAACCTCCCACTTCCCCATCTAAACATAATGTCTAGGTAAAATAGAAAAAGGAAGGGAGAATGCCATGAATAGCCTTCCACGGAGGCCAAGGTGGGTGGTGCATGTAGATAAGCTAGTGTCCCATCCATTGTATGCTTGTCAGCAGCATCGCTTGCACAAGGGTTTTACAACAGCAGCATAAAGGACACGGGGGTTTTAGAGGTGTATTTTGAATGGATACCCAAAGGGTATGTTTTATTAGAAGGTCAGAACTTATATACATTACAAGAATGTCCCTGTTAAGCTATATGCATATACAAGATAACTTATAAGAGGACTATACTAATACAATAAGACAATGAAAAAAAAGACATTATTTACAAGGCTGATTGCAAGACTGTCCACAACCACTTGATGCCACAACCTATCATCTCAATTCGGAGTCTTCAAAGGCACTTCCCCAGAGAAGCTGCATTATTTTTTCCTAAATTCCTGCTCTGATCCTATGAGCAACATCCTCCTCAATCTCTCCTTTATTATGAATTATTGAACCAAGATAATGGAAGAGACCACATTGAGTTATCTCTTGCTCTTGGTCTCCAATCCTAAGTGTACCCTGGTTTGCACTCCTATTATTATTAAATCTACATCACATAAATTCTGTTTTAGGCCAATCTCTCGTTTCTAATGTAGTTATCCATAAACCTAATTTTGCATTTAGTCCTTCATTAGTTTCATCAATCAATACTATGTCATCACTCATCAGCAAACATCGGGCACCATGGGACCTACTCTTAGACATGTTTAGTCAATTCATCGATAGAAACATAATATATTTTCATATTGTATAGCATATAGCATGGTTATATCATATTACGATATTGTATTTATTATAACATGATGTATGTTGTAGTTCCTGCAGTTAATTGTTTCTTGCCCAAATCAAAGCAACTTTGGGGCATGCTGCATTTGAGCAAGAGACATGACTTATTTCTTGCCCAATTCTAGATAGAAATAGACCAGAGGGCCAAACAAAACACCATTCCAGCCATTTTTTTTACTTCAGTCAGACAGAAATGGGCTTCTGTCAATGAACCAAGGGCCTTTGCAATAGTCATTTTCTGTATTGAGCCTTCAACCTAGGAGCCATTTGATAACAGCTGAAATAGCTGAACTGAATGATCCATTGGCTTGTCTTTTAGTGGATAAAACAATTAAATAAGAAAATATTTTAAAGTATAGTAATATTCCCAACTCCAGCTTCAATCATTAAGGAGCTTGCAACATCCTGAATGACTTATCACTACAAGATAAAGCAATAAGTCATTCAGTTAAGCCACTTTTTCTGTTGTCAAACAGCCCCTTAGTATCTATACCTTTTGACACTAACACTTATTTTATTTTTTTTGGTCCAAAATAATGCAATTATGTGTGTCCGCGCAAAAAATAGTGAGGTATAAACTATTGGAGTGGTTGAGAGATTCATTCCTTGAGAGTTGGGACTTCCAAATAGGTTTAACGCTATGAAACCTTGATAATTCAGCATGTTTAGCCAGAATTTGGTGTTGCAGTGAATAAAGCCTTATTGGATTCGTTCATTATATTAGGCAGAAGGGATGCAAACAGCCATTGGTTAATTGTAGAGGCTCATCTGTATTTGGAGTATTTAAGGCATTTCTTAGGGTAAGCAAAAGATAGGAAAACAAAGATGTTTTTGTAGAGAAGATGGGCCGAATGGCCCATAAGCTGTTTATCCTTTCTTACTGTTTATGTTCCTTTCTGTAATGGGCCTTATTCTGGGACCATCCTTTCTATGTTATGTTCTTTGTAATTTCTTGCCCAACTAAGGGCCTCCTTGTAATTATTCAAATTTAACATAATAAAATAGTGTTAGGGTGTTAGAGAGAGAAGAAGGTTCGAAACTCTCAAACTCTAAACCCTTATTGCCACCATCTCCTTCTTCACCCTCTACTCCATAGAAGAAGTATTTTCTGCTGTTCTTTGTGATTTCTTTTGATTTATGCATCTATTATAAACAGTCCCACACTCTCAAGGACTGTTTTTCTTCTTGGTATCAGAGCGGGCCTGAACTTGGCTTGGGCTCTCATGTGGGTGTAGTCCAGCCGACTACATGAGAGTGTTCTAGGGCTGGAAGCTTCAGCTTGTGTCGCCTGATTCTTAGAGGTCATTGGAGGGTGCCCAAGACTCAAATCTCTTGGAGAGTGGTTCGGTGACCAGGAAGAATCAGAGAAGAAGAACAGTTTGGTTTCTGATTTGGAGCTTAAGTCAGAGATTGTAAGTTGTGCTTAGTTATTTCTGGGTTATTTTTCTGTTTTTGGACTGTTTAAGTGTCCGAAGTTTCTTTGAAAACTGTACAGCTATTCGGTTGTTTTTTAATCTGGTTTAACCCAGAGATTTCTAGGTTGTTTTTCATTCCTTTCCTGGACTGTCAAACTGCCAAAACATCTTTGGATTCAGTGCTGCGAGTTGTTGCTACTATTTGGTTGTTTTTGGGCCCTGTAGGGACTGTTCCTGAGGTGTTTCTCACCTTTGACAATGGGGGTCTTCTCTGCTGCCCACACTATGTTTATAAAAAGACCTCTTCATCAATACAGACTGGTCTTTGCTCTTTTTGGGGTATTTTTTGGTGAGTACCTAGAATTTCTGATTAGAAAAGGAGCTTCGACTGGGTGCACAGTGCTTGGAGGTTTTCTGATTACTTCTTGAAGGCCGAACCAAGCTGTTTAGTGTCTCGTGTAGACAACAAGGTGCTGCTTCAAACTTGGTTATCACAACTTTCGGGTGTGGTTTGGCTTTGTGTATTGCTGTTTTGAGGCTGGTTTAACAGTCCTTGCTCCATTCTCATTCAGTACACTTGTAGAAGTCGGCTGAAATCCTATTTGAAGTGTTTACATGATGGACTCCTCAGAGATTGAAAACAAGAATGTTGCCGAATTTGGACAAGTTCAGGGGACTCCAGTTGATTCTTTATTGACTGTAACCACAGTCAAGCTGGATGGAACTAATTATCTGGCATGGTCACAATCGGTAAAGATTTATATATGTAGTAGAGGAAAGTGGTACTTTATCTCCGGGAGCAAGAAGGCTCCCCCAGAGGATGATCCATCCTATGAGAAGTGGATGCAAGAGAATTAAACTGTTATTGGGTGGCTTGTAAACTCAATGCAGCCACAGATTAGCCAACACTATCTATGGATGAATTCAGCAAAGGAAATCTGGGACAGTGTTGCAGAAACCTATTCCCAAAAACTAAATGTGGCTAGAGCCTATAAATTGAAAAGTGATGTAAAGAATTTAAGGCAGGGGGAGAAACCTTTAGCTGTATACTTCTCAACCCTGAAGTCTTTGTGGCAAGAAATAGACCTAATAGAAGTTGTAACTTGGGACACCACCAATGATGCAGAGACCTATAGGAAACTGGTTGAAAGAAACAGGGTGTTTGAGTTCTTAACCGGACTAAACCCAGAATATGATATCACAAAACAGAATATTTTATCCAAGGAGAGTGTCTTATTGTCACAAGC